GGGCGGGTAACCAGGGATGGAATCCAGAGATACTTAACCACTGAGCCACATCCCAACCTTTTTATTTTTGAGACAGGGCTAAGTTGTTTAGGGCCTTGCTAGAGTGCTGAGACAGGCACCTTTTTTTTTTTTTAACTTTTATTTTTTTAAAGCTGTGGATGGATGGACACAATACATTTATTTAATTTATTTATTTATTTTGATGTGGTGCTGAGGATCAAACCCAATGCCTCATACTTTCCAGGCAAGGGCTCTGCCACTGAGCCACAATCCCAGCTCCTCAGACAGGTTTTGAACTTGCAATCCAGCCTTCCAAACTCCTGCAGCATCTTTTTGACAGGCGAACACAAACAACTGGAGCTGGCTGTGGAATGAAGCGAATGCCGAATGCTTTCCCCCAGGCATGCTACTCCCTCATCTGAGGCAAGATAATGTGATGGGAAAGATAGCGGGCGAGGAAAAAAATCAGACTAGTTGAGTTCAAGCCCAGGATCCAGAGATTAATACTGCGATTTGGGCATATCACCTTATTTACCAAGCATTAATCTTCCAATGTGCAAAATGGACATAATACTAACCACTTCCTAAGATATGCATGCCAATTAGGTGGGAATATTATCTGCTAAACACAGGTCTAGGATGGTGAAAATTCAATCGAAGGTTTTTGGCTAGCCAGGTCTTAAGATGTACAAAGCCACTTCAAAGGCACAACTTGGCTCACCATAAGGAAAAGAGCTACCTTGGATGCAACTTCCTTTAGGGTTCCAGGAAAAAACAACAAAAAAAAATCTTTGCAAACTGCATAATTCTAAGTGCACACAAATGCCCTTTTCATAGCAGCTAAAACTCTTCTACAGCATGCTGGTAATGAATACTCAAGCACATGGCGTGTACGCCAGGCACTTAGCTCCTCTACCAGGATCTACCTCAAATTATGAAAGCAGATCAAAAAGGAACTTTCATCTCTGAGTGGCAGCAGCTACGCAGCTCCAAGTGTTTTCAGGAACATTAATGCCACAGAAATAGCTTGTCTTCATAAGGCAGGGGATCCAACTCTTGGAATATGCTTTCTATTAATTTAGAAGGTGTATGGTTACCATCTTGAATAGTAAGGCCACAACGGCACACTTCAGAAACTACTGAGTTGACTTCTTCTTCATTTTTAAGAGCTCTGAATGCTTTCTAATTGCTCTGAATCATTTGCAATAGCTTGGAAACATTGCATGACTGAGGTAGACTACAATATTTACCAGGCACACAACAGGGCAGTATTTGCAGAATGAGGCAAGCACTTTTAACTGTTTGTTTATTTTATTTTTATTAGCTACCCACCACATTTCTTCCTAGCTTCACTGAAACTTCTTCCTCATTATGGATTCTGGATCCTACATCTCTTCAAGGTAGACCTTTGCAAGGACCATTCAAAAGACAAATGCAGCAGGCTACCTGTAACATCCCTGCCCAAAGTATTAGAAAATACATTATTTCTCTGGGGGAGGAGTACCCTCCTACAGTGTTGGTGGGACTGCAAACTGGTGCAACCCATCTGGAAAGAAGTATGGAGATTCCTTAACAAACTTGGAATGGAACCACCATTTGACCTAGTTATCCAATTCCTTGGTATACCCAAAGGACTTAAAATCAGCACATAACAGTGATGCAGCCACATTAATGTTTATAGCAGCTCTATTCACAATAGCTAAGTGATGGGCACCTAGGTTGGTTCCTTCAACAGGTGAATGGACAAAGAAAATGTGGTAGAACAATAGAATATTAGTTAGCCATAAAGAAGAATGAAATCATGGCATTTGCTGATAAATGAAAGGAACTGGAGGCATTATGCTAAGGGAAATAAGCCAATCCCAACAAATCAAAGACCAAATGTTCTCTAATATGCAGATGCTAACACAATGAGGAGGAGGGGGAACAGAAGTTCACTGGATTAGACAAAGGGGAATGAAGGGAAGTGGGGGGAATGGGAACAGTAAAGAGTAGAATGAATGATTAGAATAAGCTATACTCCATGCATCTATGATATGTTAAAATACACTCCACCGCCACATATACCTAAAAAGAATAAAAAATTAAAGAAAATCCATTTCTTCCTATAGACCCACATTGCTACCTGTCAAAATAATGCTCAAATAGTCCCCCAGGAGACTCTCTGCCTGAAATCTCTCAGATATAGGAATACCTGAGATTTGTACCCATACTTTTGGGTTCTGACCATGTATGAAATAAGGAGATTAATGACTGGCCCCCAACATGGTCACTTTCAGGAAACACACTGAATGCAGTGACGTCAATGGGCCTCAGTGTTTAAGGCTCTCTGCTGCAGTGCTTCCCAAACACCGGGCACTCTCCTACCTCATCTGGTATCCCTGGGTGTGTGGCCATCTGGAGCTAGTGATGTGTGAATGAGAGCAAAATGTCCACTCCCAGGCCCAGCAGTCGAGAGCCAGCTGCAATGTGGGGGCCACACATTCCCAGCAGAGGAGCCACCGTGGAGGACCTCAGAGCCCCATCAGTCTTTGAGAGGGTGTGCAGTAGGGCCACGGGTCTTCTGCAGGGGCTGATGGAGTAAACTCAATACAGCCAGCTCTGAATTCACGAGGCTGCCCTCTGGGCTTCAAAGTCCTACCCCTGAGTGGAGGTGGGGGCTGGGGTCACATCTTCAACCTAGTTACTCAGGCATGTCCTCCTCTGCAATTGCCTTTGCCCCATCAGGAGCATCACCCAAACCAACTTCATTAACTTGACTGTCACACGTTCCTTTTTTGGCCCAAAATGAATCTGCTCACTTGGTTAACCTACATTTCTACTATATTTAGCTCTAAACGGATGACTTTTCACAATTTCTAGGATGCTCTGTTCAGCTGAGCATTCCAAAGAATACACTTGGAAGGAAATTCCAGAAGTTCCTGACTATTGTTTTATGGAATGGTCCTATTACTAGAAATTGTGTACAGTAACACAATGTGATTACATTTGAGGGATGGCATTTCTTGAAAACTGTAAATTTCATTTTATTAAAAACTTTTACGCACCTCATGACCCAGAATTCCATCTGCTCTGGTGGCAAATGTCTGTGCATCCATCTACCAGGCACCAGGAGAGGCATTTCCCACAGCAAACACAAGGTCCCCGTGGGAACTTGGGTGGCACATTTCTTAAATCTATTTTGCAGAGGTGGAAACTGAAGCTGGTGAAGGAGCCTTCATCTGAGGCTGATTTTTACTGGCACCTCTCAGAATGCTCTGCTCAGGCATCATTTCCCAATTGCCCAACCCCAGGCAATACTAACACCAAGAATACACAGCATATCTGTCTGCGTGCTTTATCTGTATCTGTGTTTTACACTCCAAGTCAGCAAGTTGTTTTTTTTTTTTTTTTTTTTTTTAACCTTCCTAGAACAATTGCTCCCCTTTGGGGATGGCAGCTCCAATTATGTACCCTTTCTGGCTACATGGTGATGAGTGTGGTACAAACTGTCTCTGAATCCAGGCTGTGACTCAGGACCCATGTTCCCCCTTAAACATGAGGCAAGGCCTCTCTCTGATCTGCCTTCCTGTACCTTGGGCTCCTTCAGTGCCTTTCAATCATCCTCATGGCAAGGCATACATCCTTTTGGGTAGCATCCAATGCCTTCCTGATCTGACCCTTGCTGTCCCACACTCTGCTCTCGTGACAATGACCCACATCTGCTTGTAGAAGGCCAGGCTCTCTCCAGTGTCACCTCTTTATGTGCTCCTCCCTTGGCTTACATCTTCCAGGCTGGGTTGAAGCCCTTTTCCAAAAACTCTTCACACTCATCCATGTCTTCCAATGACTATGAGGGCCAAGGGACATCAACCCTGAATCACCAGGCCCAGCACAATGTATGGCAGGACCTCTAAGGATTGTATAAATAATAAAAGGTTGAAAATGGGTCCATGCTCATGCAATAGCACAAAATGCTTTATGATTTCTTAAATATCAAAATACTGAGCCAAACATTCTAAAGTAGCCTCCTTTCTGGGCCAGGAAGGTCCTTTGTAACCCCTTCTCCAGTTTTAAGTCCCTGGTTTTCATGGAAATGGCACTGACTCATTTTGGACACACATGCATACACACACACATTTTGGGGCAGAATTAAATTTAAGATTAGGCCCAACAAGCACAGAGGCCCGATTTTGGGGATGGACAAATGGTGTAAGTCATTCCTGAGTGATGCCATCTTAGGACTTACCTGGACCTTTTTTGGGGGGTGGAGTGAGAGATTGAACCCAGAGGCACTTAACCACTGAGCCACACCCAAAGCTCTTTTTAATATTTTATTTAGAGACAGGGTCTTGCTGAGTTGCTTAGGGCCTTGCTAAGTTGCTGAGGCTGGCTTTGAACTCACGATCCTCCTGCCTCAGCCTCCTGTTAATTGGACTATCAAAGGAAACATCTCTTTCCACGGGAATGGAGAGATGTAAGTCGCACATGGGCCAGAGCTCACCATGTGTTGAAACAGGCCGAAGCCTGCTTCAGAGAACAGATTCCAGAAACAGACTACACCAGCCAATGCCTCCTGTTCTTGTTCAGCCTCCCAATTCCAACCAGGCCTGACATTCCTGAAACTTCCTACTCCATGAATCAACCAACATTATCCTATTCTGTGTGCTTAAGGCAGTGTGAAATGGATTTTTGTCAGACTGCAACAGAAAAGGGTTCCTTCCTTCTGAGCAATATGGTATGAGACAGTACTACCCAGTGCCTGGTCCACAGCAGGTATTCAACAAATGTCAGTTCCCTTTCTCTTCCCAGTTCAAAGAAAAGGGTTAGACACTGTACCCTGCACACAGATTCGTAAGAGCCACATGGGATGGTACCATCCAAGTGCTTGGCCCTCAAAAAGGACCCACTGAACGAACATCAGCGAGCACTGACATCCTCATACAGTGGAACACGGGTGGGGAGACAGAATTTAGAGAGCCTGGGTTTCATTTCTCACTGCTTCTCCCATTGAATCACAGTGTCAACGGCTCCAAGTGAACTCACCCAGCATTCTGGAATGCTAGCCGCAAACGATCAGGCCCTGGTTGCGGTAGAAACTGCTGTCGCTGGGAGCTGGTGCCAGACCTGCCACCCGAGGAAATGACCCAGGAGGCTTTGCTCTGCCTCCATGCTCTGCTTATGTCAAGTCTACTTGCCAATCACCCACTCTCACTGGGCCTCAGAAGGCAGAAGGGAAACAGTGCAGTTCCAGCTTCAACAATGCACGGCCAAAGGGACACGCATGTCTCTTCCGCAAGTGCCAATTCTCGACGTGAGCTCCCTAGCGCCGCTTCTTCCACATTAATAAGGAAAAAGTTGGACAGAAAAAAAGGGCCCTTGTCTCCTCCAGGCTTAGCCAACACATCCATCCTGACACTAATTCAGTTTTATTTTCTTTGTGTAAGAATTTTTCTGTTTTTACATTGATTTTTGTGCTACTGGCTCTAAGTTTGGTAAAAGCCCCAATCCAGACTCTACTGATGGGGGCAAAAGCTCTGGCTAGTTGAAACCAAGCTGAAACCAAGCTATGTATATAATTTTGGAAAAATACAGGCGTATGAATATGATTTTCCCCCATATTTATGTATGTAATCTTTCCCTAGAAAACTTGTGTATACACATACATACATGCACACGTGAGCATGTGCTCACATACCCCGTTATAAAAATATTCTGGGCAGGAGCTGTTAATAAAATTTCCATTTTAACTGAGGTTTTCAGGAGTCTCAACAACTGTTTTCTCAAGGGAGGGCACACCTTGAGCAGTAGGGTTTTAAAGCCGTCTTCACCATGTCCATAGTCATATAGAAGGAGGTGCAATAAACGCTTGTTTTTTGGACCTTTGCCTGCTAGGTTATTGGTCCTCCTTGGCCCCTGTGATCTGCTCAGGAATAGGCAGAAGACCCAAGGTGGGCTGATCAGAAACAGTCCTGAAGAATTTGCTAAAGTACTGTGTACAAGATGCTTCCTTTAAGCTCAAATTGCTAAACGAGGGTCACTAGTGGCAGATTGCTGCGGGATCTCTGTGCACAAAGGGAGAGGCTGAGACCTAAGCCGCAGAGCTGGGAGCTGGGCATGCGGATCTTTAACTTCCCACACTCACCTGGATGCACTAGCAGCCTCCAGACAAATATTTGTTAGAAAATCACTATTTGCTGGAGAGAGGATGTCAGAGAGTCTTATCTTCCTGTGCTCCCTGGACACCAGGCACTTCACAGTCCAGCACTAGCAGCCTTGAGGTTACTCTGGACATCGGGGGGAGGCCCGAGAGGATCCTTTTCTTACCCCCCTGTTCTCAGTGACTGAGAACAGACCCCAGGACACACAGCCAGCCTTGTCAGCACATTCTGTTGATCCCACCTTTAGGATATATCTATGTGTCATTGCTGCTCACCACTTGCACAATCTCACCAGGGCCCTGGCCATGTCCTCCACTGCAGGGTCTCCCTGATGGACTCTGCTTCTCCCCTGGCTCCTCTTCAATCTATGTTTAGCACAGCCCCCAAGCAATCCTGAAGTCAGATCACAATACCCTTCTACACCCAATCACACTTATGTCAAGGTCAAAGCCTATGTGTAGACAGTGGTCCCCAGGCCTCCTGTAACCTGATCCTCCTCTGCCCTGCCTCTTTCTGACACCCTCTTCTACCACTCTCCCTCTGGGCTCAAGTGCTCCAGCTATGTGCATCCACTGGGGTAGTCCTACTCCATGCCGGCCATGCTTCTGCCTCAGGTACTTCTCTTTCTTCAGTTTGGAATGTGCTCCAGATGGAGCTCATTTGATCTCATTTAAGTCTTCCCTCAGGTATCACTGGCCAGTTAGACTGCTCTCGACCACTCTGAACACTCACCCCATGCCCCAGCATGCCCCCTCCTCTTTCCCGAGTTTTCTCCATTACAGGCCTAACAGCTCAGGAACCGTATGTTTTAATTATTTGCGTGGTTTATCACCTGTCTTTTCCATTAAAATGCAAGCTCCGTGAGCGCAGGGATTTAGTCTGGCTCTGCTTTTGTACCACCAGGGCCTAGAGGACTAGCTGCCCATGGAAAGGGCTCAAAATTAACCAAATGAATGAGAGGGAGGGATGAAAATATAACCCTGTTTGTCATTGGAGACACATTTAAGGTACAGGGCAGAAGCTGCCTATATTCATCTGAGAAGTGCCAAGTGGGCCAGCCTGCCTCAGCTGAGCTGGCTGAGGCTGTACAACTGAAAAACCAGAACTTCAGCATAACTTGCAAGCTGGCTCCACAGGGTGCATCAGAAATCACTTAAAAGAAGACAAAAATGGAAGGATGGTTTACAATCCACCTTTTTTTGGGGGTAGGGGTACTGGGGATCGAACCCAGTGGTGCTTAACCACAGAGCCACATCCCCAGCCATTTTTTAACATTTCATTTAGAGACAGGATCTCCCCGAGTTGCTCGGGGCCTTGTTAAACTGAGGCTGGATTTGAACTCTCAATCCTCCTACTTTAGCCTCCAGAGCTGCTGGGATTATAGGTGTGCACCACCGCACCTGGCTACACAGTCCGCCATTTTAATCTCCTAGGTCAAATGTCACATACCGTGCTGAATATTTTCCTAATGCCCCCCTACCCAGTGTAATTTTTGGCAAAAAGTTAGAAAGAAAATTTTAATGTAAAGAATTTTTATTAGCTGGATATAACAAAATAAAGCATGGTCTCAGAGACACCAGAAATACCCTGAAACTTAACTCATTTTGCAGGTTCAGAAACCCAGACTCAAAGTGGAGATGGGATTTGAATCCAGCAAGTAGCAGAGCTGGGGCTTGAACAGGAATCTCCCCGATTCTCCAGCAAAATGTCTTTGGCAAAAAGTCCCAGAAGTGTACCCTAAGTCTCTCACCCTGAGAAGTGGCTCTGGCCCCTACTGTCTCCCAGAGTCAACAGAGTCTCCCAGGTGAGAACACTAGAAACAACGCAGCTGTCTCAAGTTTTCTAAATGCCGAGGCCCTGGGGTTCTCCTCCCCAGTGAGGAACACTTGGCCAGCGCCCACTGGGCCACTTACCTCCAGTAAACGAGGACGGCAATGAGGAGGATGAGGCACAGGAAGGTCAAGGCTGACACCACAATCAGAGGGATGATCCACTCCATCCTCCCAGGAGAAGGGCGGCTGATCATTCCTGAGGTGTTCTTCTCTGCTGCAAAGAGAAGCCATCCCAGTTAGAGGACAGAGGCCAGCGGAGCTGGGCAGCCAGAACACAGTGCGGAGTTCCACATCCAGTTCTGTCTGGTTTCCGGAAAGCTGGGTGGCCCGCTCTGGGCTGCCCTGTGGCAGGCGGGTGAGGTGGAGGAGAACGTGCACCTCTCTCCATTTCCTCTCCTGTCCCAGCCCCAGGACAGCCGGGCCTCACCTGCAGGGTGTATTCTCCAATGGCCAGAGGGACGCATCTGCTGGTGGAGCAGAGGATGTTTTTAAAGAGAGGGATATGCAGCTGGACTCAAAGAGTGCTACCCATACTGAGGGGACTCTGGCACACTTGAGCAAAAGCGGTGAAGTCTCCAGGAAGGGACAGGAAAGGGCCACTGGAGCGCCTCCGGGGTTCCCCATGCGGGCAGGAGCAACACCACACTGCCATGGGTTTTGCTACTGGGACCAGGATAGGCAGCTGGGACTACAGGGCCACCTCGCTCCCCTTTCCTAAGGTGACTACACCCCGATTCTATTTTGGGAAAGCACCTCTCCCTAGCAGTCATGGTGGGGCGTCCCAGGTAAATATGGGTCTCCCTACTCCCCTGGCTGAGGGTGTGTGTGGCACTCTGGCCCTGGAATCTCGACCAGTCCCAAAGACGGACCGACAGCACCCCTGAGGAGCTGGGGCACCGCGATATCTCGTCCTGTTGATTTCCACCACCCAGATCCCCAGCACTCCTGTCTCTCCCCCAAATCTTGTTTCCCAACGTTTCCCTAGTTCTTGCACCTACCCGCATTCCGCTCAAGGGCTCCAACACAATGAAAGATGGGGAGGCACCCCTTGCTCTCCTCGCAGCACAGGACCATCTCTAAGTAGCAGCCGCAGTCTCGAGGTCTACCCACTGGCTCAGGGTTCTCCCTGCTCAGGCGATACCTCCTACCTAGGCAGCTCCTTCCTCCACCTCTCCAGTAGCTCAGCAGGAAATCCTATGCTCTTTTGAAGGGCAGGGCCTGGGAGTGGCCAGGTGTCTGCAGTGCAGGTCAGATGCGGGATTGGAGGAGCACAGGTGCGCAGAGCCCACCCCCCGCAGGCGGGCGGCAGGAAGCAAAGGTTAACCAGGAAGCAAAGGTTAACCGGGACCCGCAGGGAGAAGCCCCCCTCAGGATCCCTAAGCTGCCTGCCGGCTGACCTGGGCTCGCAAAGATTCCACCTGCTCTGCAAAAATGAGGCCAGCGCGCCACCAGCCCGCGGTGTCCCCCTGCAGGATAGACTAAGTATACGGCTAATCAGGCTGGGTTTCCAAGGGAGAGAAGGTGGGCTGAGCGGGAAAGACATAATTGGTGTCAGATGCAAAGACTTAAAGAGCAAGACTCCTGAGTCACAGGAGATGCATTGCAGCGATTCCCGGGGTTCCTATAGTTACTTCACACCCAACACCTTCAAGGATTCAGTTGGGGTTCTATTTACAGGTAAGAAGATAGAGTTAGGGAGTGAAACACACTGATTATAAGCCACCCAAGAGCACCTTACTCAACAGGACCTTTATAAAAGTACCAATGCCTAAAAAACAAAATAAAAGTACAAATGGCTGCTCATTTCGGTCAACTCCAATTTTAAACTAGAAACACATTTGCCAGGCTCCTGTTTGTCGGTCAGGATGCTATACTCTAGGGACCCAGGGGGCACCTCTGTGCCCATGAGGCAGGTGTCACTTGAAGGAGAGGGGGTGGGCCTCTGAACTATAGCCAGACACAATACATGTGGCACCAGGGGAAACCATGTCCCCTCAGGGGCTCCAGGAAGTGAGGGTGAGATCTGAAGGATGAAGGGCGCCAGTCAGCTTGAATGTCGGGAAGTAGAGGTGTCCCGGAGAGAGCATGCCATTCAAAGGAGGGCCAGTAGGAGGAGGGGAACCCAGATGGAGACTGAGAAGCCAGATGAGCCAGGGCCTCGGAGGGAACTGGTTTTGGCCCCAAGGGAGGCGGACGCTCCAGCAGAGCATGAAGCCCGGGCAACACACAGCTCCTGGCCACTTAATGCTTTTTTTTTGCAAAGCAATGGCGACTGGCCAGAGAAACTACAGTTGCAAATGAGAATAATTTTGTGGGGCCCTAGTAGGGGTCGGCTCAGCCACGCAATTATCTGGCTGAAGGTGGGGGCGTCTCCAAGACCTGGAGGTTCTGATAATGGAAAAAAATGTCAGGAGGGTTGACGACATAGGCCACAGGTCCAATTAGCTCAGTATCTACCCTGGGCACCCTCAGGTGCAAGAGGTCTCGCAGGGTCTTTCCCACTCCCTACAGAGGATTCTTGCCTGTGCTACTGCTGGGTAGAGGGAGATGCAAACTCCCTCTTTTACATCCTAAACCACAGAAAAGGACTCTCAGCCCAAATCACCCTTCACACAATTTCCACTCTTTGGACGTATCGGCTCCATGTTATTTTGGCCATCCTAAAAGCATCTGCTGTGAGGATCAGGGGCATGGTATGTTGTCCCTGAAATCACACATCTGTCCAAATGGCAGTGGAGGAGGCCTTGAGTTGGCAACAATTT